GAAGATTTGAAATGCTTCCTGGAACTAATACGTTCCCCATCCTGCCTCGAGCGAGAATATCTCCCTACCGCCTTCAGCAAGGCTTGGGGCGGACCCTCAAGCCAGACTCCCTCAATTGTCTCCTGGTCCCTACAAACAACAAGCCACCCAATTTTAAATATGATTTTTATACACTATGAGGCAGTCTAGATGTTTTCTGCCAGTGAAATTCTCTCCCTCTCGGGGACACTGGAAATTTTCACTTGGAGACAGGTTTTCACCCCCCAAATTTACATCACTAACTTAACAGATCCTGCTAGAGTGCCGTATCAGTTATTGATGGGCAATCCTGTATTCAGGCTGGTGGAGAGCCAGTATCTTTAGACGAGGTATTTTTACGTGCTTGCCAGGATGACCACCTTGCCTCCCTCCCTGAAGCCATGCCCCAGTAGCGAGCGCTCCATCTGACCACAGACCAGGGAGAATGGAGAAGAACGGATTTCAGTAGCAGAGCCAATGGTAACTTCTTTTACTTCTTGGAAAATTACAATCCCATCTCAAGATCTGATGTAGTGGGATCCCGACTTGGTTTTGCCTAAAATATGTATTCTTCCTCTGCCTTTATATAAAAAGATACTGCTATTACTCAAGTGTTTTCCGCTGGGTTTATAATAAAAAGTACCTTTTACAATCAGAAAGTCCCAAACGAGTTTCAAGTTCAAAGGTTACTGCTATTCAGCTTAAGATTTCAGAAAGTTCTTGGAACTGTCTTTCGGCTTCAATGACTTGTAATATGCTTGGAAGCCCTAAACCTTCATAGGGTTTACTGCCGCCTTTTAACCAAGATGCTACTGGCTTGCTCACTGAGAAAAAGCACATTCTGCCAGTAACCAGCCCAAGAGTTTTTACACAAAAATATGACCCTGTAGCAAGTAGTTACGTAATTCTTAGTGTAATTTAACATTTTTCAAATTGCTTATGCTATCCCTATGTATGCAACAGGTGACTGATGGAATAGCACTGACATTATCCAAGCTCTAGGAAGCTTACAAGCAAACCCTGTAATCCTGTTGTCAGTTACACACAAGATTTATATGAAAAAAAAATCAGGCTATAGGAGGGTGAGATGAACAAAGATTAAGAGCAGCAACAGAATCGGAAAGGCTTTGGAATGTCTTGAAAAGTCAAATGTAACTTCTTAAATGTGCTATTAAAAGTGCTTGTCCAAATAACTCGTGGAGTGTGCTTTGTTTTGTTTCTTTTGTTTGGGTAGGGGTTTTGTTGTTTGGCTTTTTGACAAGGGGAAAGAAGCAGGTACAGCTTTACCTGCAGAGAGGAAAGATTTTTGGCAGCCCAGGACCAGAGGCATGCAGCATGCTCTTCCATCCACCCACGGGACCATGCAGAACAACTCTTGCAGCACGCATCCCAAAGGAAGAGCAAACACGCCAAGGCATTGTGCCAGAACGGGATTTTGATGGAGAACACTTACGTGCTGCCGGCTCCCTAACCCACCCAGAGCACGACCTGGGTTTACGCTCAGGGAGTCTCATAAACACACTGATGGTCTTTGAGAAAAGAAAACCAGGAAGCCATCGGCAAGAAGGCCGACAGCCATCAGGCAGAGCACACCCCAGGGTGAGCGCAGGGTTATCATCAATGGGTTTGGGTAATCTCTTACCACATCGCCCATGCTGGAACACCAACCACTTGCATACAGTCCTTACGCTGCTTCCGCTGACGTATGCGATGTCCATGGGACAGAAGAGAGACGTCTGTTGCAAAGCTCCCGCCTCTCTCACTCGCCTTAGGGCTTCAAGACCAGCCCCCATATGTAACATGGTTTTGGTCAAGTCCACCTCAAGCCTATAGAGAACTAGAGAGAACTGAAGGAACTGCAATGCATGACTACAACATAGGTCTCTAACTTCCTCTTATCCATGGACTACAACAGTATAGAGAATCTACAACCTGTTTTTAAGTTGTTACAGAGAAGGGAATCCAATAGGAAAACTGTAGGGAGCTCATTTTTAAGCCTTCAACCTCTGAACAGAGAACCTGAAGCATGAAGAGTTCCCCTTCCAAGAGGCCTCAGCGAAGTCAAAGTGAAGAAGCTGATGTTTCTGCTGTGACGTTTTCAATGTTATTCTCAACATTATAGAGGAAGGTGGGGAGTTTTGTTCTGCTTTGTTTTTTAACTACCACAGGCAGCAAAGGTCAACGCTGAAACTGAGGTTGGAGATAGCATTGATGAAAAGGAAACGAGGATGGGGAAGTGTGAACTCATTAGAAATAAAACAAGCCAACTCTTCCACTCCCGGATAATAAAAGTCCTGTCTGTTCCAACACCTTGGGCAGGACAGGAACAGCAGGAAACGCGTGCGGTTTCAGCTGACCGTACCACTCGTTCGTGTAATTTCCAGAAGAACCGCATGTACACAACCATAACTTCTGATGAGTGTAGCAGTACATCCCGTCCAACTCAAGAGTGCTCAGCACTTCATGTGCGCATCAGGTGAACTGCGATCCCGCCAGTGTTAGCAGAGTAGCCCAGAAATTCAGTCTGATTTAGCAAGACCTGAAATTAAGTACCTACCTCCAAATAGCCATCACCCCATTTTTGAACATGCACGTTTGAAAGTTTTGGCTTAAAAATATAAACAGGTTATTTAATCCATCTGAAGATACTGGATACATGTTTAAAAGCACTAAGGCATACTGAAAATCAGAGGCTCAAAGTCTTTTGGATGTACTTATTTTTTAGCTGAAGACTCTTTGGCCACCTACACAAACTGACTATTTGCTTCCATACGCTACTTGTATAAACATTCAGTTCTTACACATTTACCTGTTGTGAGAAAAAAAACCCAAACATTTCTGTTGCTGAGAAGCAAGCACATTTGCCAGAAATAGGGTGTCTGTTTTTAAACATCAAGTTCCGTAGGTCCCACAGGCGGTCGGGGGCTAGCTGAAGCCTGGGAACGTCTGCTGAAACTCTTCAGGCTGTTGAGTCACTTTTATCATCTCTCCCCTAAGAGGACCTCTGGTGTTCAGCACGAATCCAGCTTTTTCTTGGAGCAGCAGCTTTTTCTGTGACTGCCATTTCCTAAAAGCAGCAAGAACTTTAAGTACTTTAGCAGCTCTACTTCCTTGTCAAGTTTGGCCAGTCTTTTTTGCATGTTAAAAATGTGCCGTGGGAAAGAAGAACTGAGGACAGCATGGCTGTGCAAACCTTGTTTCTTTAACAAAGCAGGCTAAAAGCAGTAAGAGCTAGAGAAAACATACTGCGTCAGCAGCACTACCCTGAACGCATCATATCCTGGTCTAGCACAGTTCTTTGGAAGTCCTCTCATGCCCAGACTGAAGGCAGAAGCTTTCTTGATGGGAACAGCAAGCCGCCCTCAGGCCCAGCCCCACCGGCAGACCCGAGAGGAGGCTTCCTGTTTATTTCTCCCCTGGGACGGTGGGCCCTGCGCTCTTGCTCGGGCTCCGCAAGGACTGCACAGGCCCCCGCAAGTCCCCAGGGGCTTAGGAACATTTTGTTGGGAGACAGTTATGGAAACACTGGGTTTCTAGTTCCACGCTTTGAAGCACACAAAAATTAAAGAAAAATTCAGCAAGAGGCGACTTCTTAGCCAAATACACTTTAATAAACCAAAGACAGGGTAGATGCCACTGGAAAGAGCATTCCTCTATACAGTAGCCTCACTACCCCTGCTCAGCTTGGGTTTGGACATTCTGGGCATCTGCCTGGCCCAGTCAGAATTTTCTGCCATGGGGCAAACAGCTGCTTTTGTTCCTTTAGTACCAGCCTTCCCACGGAAGCATCTTAATCAGCAGTTTAGTTTCTGCATACAGCGCTAGCCAGGCACAGCTACTGGCCCTCCAGGGCACAGTAATTCACAGCAACTCTTCTTGGCTGCCTTGAGTTTTATTCTTTGTCCTGCAGATCACATGCCAAGGAGGGGTATCAAGCTATGAACTCTTATTACATATTACAATCAGACGCTACAGCAAATATTACAGAAAAAACACAATCGCAAAAGAAAAAAGGTTAAATTTATTCAAAAAAGCAGACTGCCTCCAAGCCATCACACATTCCATGGAAGGGAAGAAAAGACATACTATTCCCCTTGTCTCCCTTCCCTGCCTAAAAATGCAAGATCTCTCCTCCTCTGGAGAGTGAAGAGGAGGACACAGACATTCTTAAAATTTATGCATACTGGCAAACACTGTTTAAATGGCGAGGTCTTGTTTATCAGAGCAAGCCAGACACTTAAGAGCCTCCCAACTTTCACTAGGACCCAGGCTCTGATAACACCACCTGCATTCCTTGGTAGACAAAGAGTTATTAACTGACCTACTTCTGCCATGAAACCTGAAAATTAATCCTACCTAGGCTTTGGCAAATACAATGGAAGTTACAAATTCTGTTTTTCTGCTAATTCTGCTAGTGACTATTTTCCTCTTTCTTACCCACCCAACATAACCTGCCTGACATCAGAGCAGCTGGATCCCCCTGACACGACAGAAGCCAGAAATCAAGTGAATCTCAGTTTCAAGAGGCATCTTTCAGCAGTGCCACAATGCCAAGTTATCTGTGTAAATAAGTGAGCAAGTAAGTAAGTGCCATTGATTTAGTGTGGTGCAGCACTTCCATGGCTGTGCTGCTCGCAAGGGCGATACTTCAGCACCTTTAACCACTGCTGCACAGCGCTGCCAGCAAACGGAGCTGACAGGACTAAGCCAACCAGCAGGAAACTAGAGTTTTGAGTATTCACATACAAATGGTATCTGCCCACTTTCTGGAAGCAGTGCGCACAGCACATTTCTGTCTCCCCAGGTCTTCTATCACGCTCATTACCATAGCACCTGAAAGTGCTGAAAGGTGAAGTGTAGAAAGGAGGTACGTCCTGCAAATCTCTTCACAGTGGAGAAGGGCAATTCACTTGTTAGCGCATGCTTATGTTTCCAAAAACCTTTAGACAACATTTTTTTATTGGAGACTCAAACCATTTCACTAACGTGAAATACTTTATTGAAACATCCTTTTTGGAATCAAGGCTTACTGCAACAGTCATACGCTGGGCATTCACAGAATTGTAAGGCCAAGCTGCCAACAGAAGGCAACTGCTTTTATCCAGTAACTGCACAGCCATTTGAGAGAATGCTGGAAACGCTGGAAGAAAACATATTTTAGTTCCGCCCTCTCTTTTCCTCGTTCTTCATCTGTACTTGGACCTCTCTTTATCTTTTGATTTCTTAGGACTTCTGCTTCTGTCTGCTTTTTTATCCCAGTCTCTTATTCGGAAGTCGTCTTTGTATTTGTCTCTTTGTTTGCTGTAAGTGTAGTCTCTCTCTTGAGATCGGCTGCGACTCCGATGCCTGTCTTTCTTCTCACTCTTTATCTTTTCTCTACAGCGTTCTCCTTCATGTTTTCGATCAGAATCCTGTTAAAGAAATTGGGTAGATATGCAATTACAGACAAAAGGGGAAAATATACAAAAAGCAAGCATGGTTGGTTCCTTAGCGAAGGCTGGTACTACCTGAAATAGATTCACATCCATGATGATTTGGAAAAGATAACACATAAAAAAAACCCCACTGTAACTATACAAAGAAGGTAAGTCTACAGCTTCTGTCATCATCTATGGAAAAAAGCATGGCTGCCAGGCATGCTGCCGCTTGTATTTCCTAAAGAGCTTTGGCAAACACTGGTTATATCAGGGATTCAAATCAGATGGATATTATCAAACTTTTCATAAGCACCACAGAAGCTTCTAAGCTAGATTTGGATTTTGACTTCTTATCTAAGCAATGGAAGTATTTTGATTATAGGTTCTGGATCAAGCCCCACAGGCATTTCAGTGCTATGAAGATGCAGTGCACTTCTTAAGATGTGCCTGTAATAACCCTTAATGGCCTAAATTCTAGGCTTCAGAAAAAATGAACACCACCATTACAAAGACCAAAACTACACACACACACACGTGCATGCAAACTGCTTCACTTCCTTGAAGCTAGAAGTCCACAAGAAAAGGCAACACGGAGAATCCAGTCCTTTTAAATGTACAGTCAAACAATAACAAGGCAATGAAAAATTAGTTGTATTTTGCAGGCTGATGGGTATGACCCGTAACAGAAAACACATGAGCATACACTCATACACAGACATCGTAAATTCTAATAGGTAAGTCTATCTAATTTAAAATTACCTAAAAAGGAGAGACCAGCAGTATGTACTACAAATGGTAATGGTGTTTCTGCACGCACACAAACTCTTTAAAAAAAAAAAAAAAAAAAATCAAGTTCAGGTAGTCAAAAATGAGGAAATTTTGAATTTCTCTGGCTTTCTGCATATCGTCACCAAGAATGCTGACTGAGTGGCCCAGTGCACAGAATGGATCTGCTCTGGAGAGAAATGAGGTGTACGTACCAAAGGAGGAACTGCTGTCAGCAGAACACCTGCTTCGCTTGTTGCGCTAGGCAGACAGCGTGAAACCACTGAGACAATTTATTAGTGAATGAAGGGAAGATGGCTTAATTACTCAGATTGTGAAATGTCACACTAACAAGATCACGGCACAGTACATTTTAAAACAACTATGTAGAGACACCAACACCTGTACAAGCCACAGCACCATAGCAATTTTAAAAGTAAAAGGATAAAGATCACTTAGAAAGTTGCCATTTCATTTCAGGGAACTCAAAAGATTTTCTTAATACACAACACCAAGCTGCGAACTCCTAACATTTTCAAGCGCTGCTAAAAACTATTTTAATCTTATTATTCAACTAAAATACACAGTGATACAAAATAGAAGACGAGCTTCAGAATCCTGCAGAGAGATACATACACAACTTGCTATTAAGAAGGTGGCTGGCACTTCATTTTGAAGGTACGACCACTTGAAAGTTTAGTATCACTATATGCTCTAGTAGACAGATATAATTTTATGGGATTTTAATAACACCACTATTAAACACAGATCATTATGAACTATGGAAAATGTCTGCATTAAATTACAGAGTATTTCTTTCTTAATTTCAGATACAGTTTTAATTCTTCTAAATACATACTCGTGACAGTAGCATTCATAATTGTATGGCTAAAACCTATACTGCATGTACAAAACCAAGCAAACTTCATTTATTTAGAAGAATAGTGAAAAAACCCTCTACTCAAAGCAAAGCTTTTATCCAGAAAGGGAGTGATCAGGATGGTTCCCAGAGCAAACACCACCTTTAGAATTATGTAGATAATGCTAAAATATTTGAGTTCAAATAAGCAACATGAAACCCCTGGACCAACACACACAGCAATAATCACAGATTTGACCTTTATCTACATAACAGAAAATTCCGGCTGCTGGTGGGTATAGTAATCTCACTGGTGGCCAAATGCTTATTCCATGTCTTTACTGTCAAACTCTATTTGAGTACAGATTTTAAAATCTGAATCCCTCAAAAAGGAGTGGTGATTCCAGCTACTTGTAAGAGGTTTGTCCCTTCACCTTCAGAATGATGCACTGCCATATTACTCTCATACCCCAAAGCCTTGGTCTCCATCTGTTTGACTAAGATGACAGGCTTCAAGCCTCTTGTGGCATGGCCTGAATAAACATTGGAAGATGGACAGACTGGTGGTGGAGTATAGAGGAACAAGACAAAAATGTTGACCAGAAAAACAGACGGTGGGCTTGGTGCGCTGCTGCCTTCTAGCTGGTTTGTTGCTGAAGTTGCCTCCCAGCACAAGGAGAGGCAGGAGAAAAGCAGGACAGCACTCAGTCGAAAAATCTACCAAGCTGACACTGGAGACAGGCTACTGGCCAAGTCAGGGCAGGGAATGCGTTACTGAAGACTTGAAAGTGAAGACAAATAGCCTACGTTGAATGCCATAGAAAAGGGGAACTTGCCAAAAGGATAGAAAAAAGTCCTATGAGCACGGAGCCAGCTAAGCACAATGACCTTCACAGAAGCATTTAGGGTATAGGTGTACAGGGCAATTCTGAAAGTGCCACAAGAAGGTCATAGCAACAGCTAACAGGATCACAATGTAGAGAAAAAACTTTAGTAATTTGAATTAATAGAATGAATTGCAACTTAGTTCCCCTGAAAATTCAGTTACATTTCCCCTTACAGAAGTTTTTGTCTTTTTAACATCTTTGGCACAGAAAAAAGTCCAATTTTTAAACACTCCAAGTTACTGAAAATAATGGTATTTTGAAATCAAATCTTTTATGCCGTATCCAAGTCAGAAACATGTTGGTTTCCCACTGGAAGAGGACGAAAAAGATTCCTGCTTAAAAACAGGCTCTCTCTTACTGCTGAAGTCCAGATTTCTCAATCCAAGATCACAGACTCTTATCAGTCAATGAGTAAGTGATGATCATCCCAAGTCTTAATCCAGCACTGTGTTTGTGAACACACATGAGGAAAGAAATATGAAAACAGGAAAGGACACTTCTCTGGAAGTTCACGGCTGGCTTTGCCAAAAGTAGTAACTTGCCAAACTGCACTTGCAGGTAAATCAGCTAGAAATACCATAACCACAAAAGCAGAACAAATGTGCCACCTCTACATACATTAAGCCCATTAATTAGAGGTTAAAAGGAGCAAAAAAAATAGAGACAGCCTTTTCAGGAGGGAGATTTTTTTATCAAACTTGACCCTGAATATGAAGAGAACAGTGTCCAATAAGCAGTAAGAGCAGGAAATTAAAACCAGAAAAATCAGTATCTTTGCCAAAACCATGCACTACAGAAACCTGAAAGTCAGGAAGCCCCTATGTCTCACAAAAATCCACTAGATAGGCTACACTCCTCCACTGATCCAGTTATCAAAAAAACCCAAACAAACCAACAACAAAAAAAAAAACCCAACAACCTAAAACCAAAGAACCAAAAAACACAGAAAACTGGAAAGGGAACACAGTCACAATATAATCTCAAGCAAAAGCATGACCTGTATTCAAAAAAACCTCTACCAAATCCTATTCACAAACCCACGTGCTAGTGCAGCCTCCTGCTCCAGACCCACATCCTGTTACCTACTAAAAGCAAGCCACAACACCCTACCTCTTCTACCCTCTGGAATCAAGTCAAACAGCATGAGATTCAAAAATATATTCTTAAAACACCAACACAGAGGCTGAAGATTCAGGAAATGGCTGTCAGACTAAGAAAACGATGAGTCAAAATACACTAAAGAAAAAAAAAAAAACAGCAAGAGAACAGAAAAACAACTCAACATCATGGAAACTATTCGGAAAATAAAACCCCTTCAGTCATAGCTGGAGCTGGTAGCACGAACTGCAGTTTCAGGTGCCAGAACTTCCCATTATAAGCCCCTGTTCTCTGTTAATTAAAATCTCTGCCACACTAGGGGCTCAGGGTGGAAGTTTATGTATGAAGCATGGCCATTGTGGTTTTTGGCCAATTAGCTGTAGAAGGTCTGCTGTTGTTTTGTTTTAAAGTTCTTACCTCAAACATATTCTAATATTTCCAAAATAGGATTAAGGGAAAATGCTTTGTTTGCCTATACTAAAAATGCTATCATTCATCAAAAAAGTTTCCATACTGTCATGCTTTGCAGTGGTCTTGGTATTCACACTGAATACACTCTGCCTCAAGCACATATCCCCCTGTTCTTGTACGAGTTCCCCAGATTATGCCTAAATTATAAATCTAAAATGAAAAACCCAAACAAACAAAAACTATATTTTGTATATGCTAAACATTATTTGCCTGCAGATTTCATCTGGAAAAGGCCATGCCCAAGACACTTACTGAATCTCCAAATCACACTGAGTACATACATGAGTATGTACATGCTCTACAGTACACACTAACAAGACTATTTAAGTACAGACACAGAGAAAGATTCTTCCCATAAATTAATTTTCACAGCTCCAAGAGGGAACTATGTTGCTTACCATCAGAGAATAGAAGTAAGCCTCCACCTGTGCTTTTGGGAATAAGGCGGCTAAGCTATTTACACCAAAATGGGTAAAGGTAAGCAACAGAGAGGAAAACAATGGTAAAGAAGATACCAGAATACAGCAGCAGTAGACTACAGGAACAAATCACAAGCGGAGCAGGTGACTGATCACAAAAAGAGACACAGAGACACAGAAGAGATCAGAGTCAAGCACTAGAAAATACTACTTTTCAGAACTTGGAAAGAGCACCAGGAATCCCTCCATCCTCACATTTTGCTTTGATAACCACTGCTAACGCGTTTCACAGTCCCCTTGTAACAATTAGAACATACAGAAGTTAACAGCCTATTGCTTCCAGTACTTGTACCACCTGGAGGGGTGGAGACATCAGAATGATTTTAGTGTTCTCTGCTAATAACGCATGATCAGACAGTTCCACACATTCCATGTGTGCGATTTCTGAACCACCAAGGACAAAGACTACTTCCAGAAACATCTTTTTCAAGAATGTTAAAGCAACATGTCCAATCAGCCAAAAAAATAGGAGGATTTCTAAACCAACACTAGTTCAGCCCTCTTGTATATATGTGCTCCAAATGAGACTTTTCATTATCTGAACACGTCCCTCCCCTCCACCCAAAGGATCCCAACTGACTTAGTACACAAACAGTGACAAAAAGACTTGTACCACAAAATGAGCAATAAGGCTTATTGGTGGCACTGAAAAAAAATTGCTACTGTTCATGAGCAAAAATATTTTTAGCATCACAGCAAGAAGCAATGCAATGGAACAACTGAATAATGCTCTCTGTACACAGAAATTAAAGCAGCACTCAAAACTTATGCCAGGACAATGGCTTTATTTACTGTGGCTAGAACCTTATCACTTTCTGAAAGTTGCTAGAAGACAGCTTTGCTCTCACTCATAAAGCTTTGCATTGTTAAAATACTGGGTCATGGGGGGTTTTTTTCAGCTTAGCTCAATTCTCCCTAACACTCACACTTCAACAGTGGTTAACCCTCAACTTCATCGTTGCAGACATTGTTTCCATGAAACATCAACATCTTGACAACCCTAAGTTCCCAGAAACGTGAGAATGCTGACCTGACAGGCTGCAGTGGAACTAAGCAATGACAGAACTAGTGTCTTCTGATGATCTCCTCCACAGTCCCAAGTCTTACTGCACTGTACGCTTGCACAATATAGATGCAAGTAAACCAGCATACAGATTTTACAAAAACACTTCCAAAACAATTAAGGAAAAATAAAAAAGATAATGCAGAGAGACTGTGGTTTTGATTCCATAAGGTAAAAAGCCAACACATGCTGGTCTGGCAAGAAAATGAGAAATAGTTTGCCTTCAAGAAATATGATTAACTACTAGTTTATGACTGGGAATATGTGAACCACAGGTTCAAAGTGCTGAATGTCTCCTACTTCAAGAGAGGCTACATTGCCTCTTCAGGATGTTTTGGCAAAAAGCCATTCAGACATGCCAAGCTTCAGAAGTCCAGGAAAATCTGGAAGGCCTATTTCATAATCAGATACTAACATCAGCCTTCTGTACATTTACAACTGCTGTATTTTATGGGACTTTGCACACCATGACCTCAGTTCAGTATCAGACTTTTTTTTTTCCTGGCTTCTCTTATTAGAAGAACAATAAACGGGTACAAAGCTAATGCACAAAGAGGTTAGTACCTTAGATTTTTTGGTCCTCTTGTCATCCTCTTCATCTTCAGAGTGGTGGTGCTTTTTCTTCTTTTGTTTTTTAGCCAAGTGTGACTGACTTGTTTGAGACTCTTCTATATCCTCATCCAGCACAAGGTCATACTTGACACTGATGGTGTTGGTTAAGGACAGATCTGTTACTTCATAGAAATAAATAGCAGAACATAAAAGCTCACGAAGCAAACAAACCCCTGTTTATCAGACCAGGGTTTACCAAGACTTACTATGTATTCCAGTCAGAACAGGATCGTACACATTTAAGAAATCAGCTGTGCTAAAATGACTGAATTCTGTCCTGTCAGGCAGTACAGCCAGGTCCCAATTCCCCTTTCTTTTCTACCTGTAGATATCTGAACCAGCTATGGTCTTCTCTTCTCTCATGCTCACCACAAGCAAAGCAGAATTGCAGAGCAATGATTTAGCTACTACCGTGGTCTCATTTTGGATGCAGCGTGTCCCTTGTGAGACTACTTAGAATTCTGTTATGCCACATGTCATTCCAGGGCTCTGGACTGGTAACATTATTCACCTGCACACAACATGGAAGTGAAACAGCACATTCTGATTTGACTAAATTCATTGAAGTCATCAAATGAAAAACACAAAATGTTTAGTCCCATCTCAAACACCAAATGGTTATATGAAGCAGCAGCAGAACACCCATTTGGCAAGCTTTAAGAATAAGAAGCCTTTTCCAGGCTGTTTTCATAAACTGTACTTAGTGCAAAAAATACCTCTGATCAAAAAAAGGATACTCCTGCTTTGGTTTTACCTTCTCTTTCAGAGCAAGTTTTGAAGGTTTCTCACGTTCCTTTTCGTACTCTTTGAAATCGTCCTTGGTATACCGCCCACCTGTCCACAGAAAAATATATTCAATTCACTCTAACTAAAAAAACAACCAAGATCCTCACCTATCACTAAGTTCTACTTATGAATTTCTGGGTTTGTCATAACCATACAGATTCATAGCAGGATACAGTTCCAGAAACAACACTGACATCTGGGTAACAGAGTAGAAGAGAGTAGGAAAAGTTGTGATTTTCTGTCCTCTTGCTTGGAGATCCCATTAAACAACATATGGCTCTCTCCTCACTCATGTCCAGTGGAGACAATGCATGAACAGGATCACAGAGTAGTATTTAGCAACTAGTCCCACTTTGATTACAGGTCCTATGTCACACTACTTAAAATTCTGTTACCATGAAAGCCTACAGATTATTCTCATTATTAAATTACTTTCTGCTCTGGGCTGCACAAAGGGAAACCTCCAAGAAAGCTACAGCTTAGGAATCCAAATGAAAAACTATAAAAAAATTGTCATGTCTTGATTTAAAGAGGTGCATGACAGATTTCATTTTCCATCTATTCACTTGAAGGTAGTGAAATCCAGCTCACAAATTAATAAACTATTCTACAGCAACGTGCTGCCATCTCACGGCCATACTTAAAACTGCAATATTAACAGAAGGTCAGAAATAGTTATTGAAGGTGGAATGACCATACTTCCCCTAGCTCATTTTTTGGGTACCATAAAAGCACAATAAGATGACAATATAGTTAGCTTTCCAATATTTAGGACAATTTAGACCTAAGATACCCAGATAAAGAAAAGTTTTCCATGTAGTCAGTTAGTACTGGACACACTGCAGAACATGGTGTAGATTGCAAAGTCATCTCTGTTCCGTACAGGACAAGTTCAAGGACCTCAGTGTCTGTGACTAGTCCCCAACCTGGAGAAATCGTATGCAAACAACTGAGGGCTGACTGCATTTTTAGGTGAACACACAAGAACAGCACCACTGCAACGTACCTCTCCAAGCCCAGAGTTTTCCTCACACGCCCAACAACCAAATAACCACTGCATCCACCTCTCCCACCATCTTTTTCCCCCACCAAAACATCCTCAAACATCCCAAATTGGGTTTTATAACATACAGCCTGCTATGCAATATGCTTGACTTACAGGAGGTGAAGAGGGGAAATCCCTGGCCTGAATATTGACTTTTTCTTGTATACACCCAACTGTCGTACAGTGAATAAAGAAGAGAAACTAGAAAGTAACAATGTACTGCCATATTATTTTGCTAATAAGTAACATCAAAACCCATCACTTTTAAAGCTTGAGGGGAACAAGTTATTTACAGGCAAAACTACATCTGATAAGAAGGCAATCCATGGCAATGTAATATTAATATAACAGTAGTAAACCCTTCTACTCTTTCATACAGAACAAGTGAATAGAAGAGCTAGCAGCTGTGTTATTCTATTTACCACAGTACCAGGAAAATTTATAGTCCTAAAGATAAGATGATTTATGCTCATAACAATTGCTCCTCTTTATATAATACTTAACAGTTTTGAAGTCATGCTTTATTAACTTATGAAGGTCAAATAATCGTGAGTGTACCTACCTTTTCCCTTCCACTTAATCTTTGCAACGGACTGGCTAAAATCTACATGTATCCGTCTGTCATCTATCAGCACATTGTCCATTTTGAAGTAGGCTTTCTCACAGTCTTCCTCCTGATATTAATGTTTCCAGAAAATTTTGAGTCATAATTATTTCATAGGCATATTCATCGAAGAGCTCAAACACAAATTCAACTGCTTAATGGCATACATTTTTTCCAAAATTGCATAGAGCACAGCACTTCTTGCATTGTGCCATTTCAAAAGAAACAGTTACGCTTTGTCCGAATGTAAACATTTCAAATTCCATTTCTTCAGTTCATTTCACTTTTTAAAAAATTCACCAATCCAGCTACGCGTTTGGCAGATGTAGTACATTCAGAAAAACAAGGGGAAAAAGGACAACAACTAATAAAAGCTCCATTTTAAGTACATAAGTAGGCTAAAGAAAAGTAAGAACACTTTCCCAGTGTTTTTCAGTTTTCCTCACAGATTAGAGAGATTAGCAGACACAAACAAGAAAACTATGCACCATCAAGAGAACTTTTACTATCAAATCTCACAGCAAGAGCAGCATCATTTACGAGCCCAGTATAGGATACTACTATACACAATGATCTACCTTCTTTCATATACCCCCCCTCTCTTTACGCAGCACACCTCCTTTTATTCCTTCTTTAAATCTTCAAAGTCCTAATGTGCTCTGGTGGGAAAAAAGGGACCCGCTCTCCTCCCACTGGTTTCAAGACAACCTCAGAACATAATTGTATTGGTTGGTTGAATAAAGACTTAAAACACTTGCCTCATTCAGGACCTACAACTTCTAATAACTAAACCAGTAAGAGAAAATATTAGCTACCCCACACTTGAAGATTTCACTGTTTTTCCTCAATGGTAGTATGCCAAAAATGAATTTTTGTAAGCAGAATCTGCATACAGTATACCTTAATAACATACCTTTTCAAACTCAATGAAAGCGTAACAAAGAGATTCACCAGTCTTCCAGTCTCGAATCACTTCACAGCTGAAAAATTGATATGAAATGGTCAGTGCTGTCGGAGCAAAACACGTAGGATAGGCAAGCACTACTTCAAAGGGAGAGTAACAGTTAAAAACAAGCAAACAAACAAAACAAAAACAACCTTGGAGGTACGATAACACTTGATTCTAAGATCCCTACTGATGTGGGGGTGTCTGCACAGAAAAAAACGCATGTGGCATTACTTGAGTAATTATTACACATGACTACAACTAGGGATAAATTTCTGATTAATGAAACAAAACCTGTTTTCCAACACTACTGTTTGTTACTGACTTTTTGCATTTCACTAATGCAAGACAAGAAATTTCACATTCTGTTTTCTCAGTCATTTTAAGGAAGTTTAAACACACATCACAAAGATTCTCTTCTTAGCAAGCACCTCTTTAGCAAACATCTTCTTATCAGGCAGTTCACTGGGCAAAAATAAGAAGCCTTAAGTATTGCATCAGCATTACCAAACTCTTGTATACGACATGAGAATTCTGATGTTAAAGAAGGTCAGACAGGCAACAAGGGCAGGAAATGTGGTATTAAGGTGAGATTTAATAAGGTCAGACCTCCCCCATGTGCACTGAGGAAGTGAAAAATCAGGATTTGTCCCTAAGACATCCAGGAATCAAGCTGGAGTTGTAAGAGTGGGAAACACAATGCCAATTTCACTCACACACACAGGCTAGGGAAGGATCTGGGTGTCTGCAGGCCTGTATGCCAGTACTGCACAAACTGGTAGAAACTCAACGCAGAACAGAGTTAGCATGCGTCTGAATAAACAGGACACGCTCAGGACCATCTGAATAAACCTAACTGAAGTTCTCTGAAAGAGTCAACATGCTTATGCATGATGATCATCTATTTGATGCAGTCTTTTGAAATCCCTCTGGGAATTCTAATAAACTCCTGCACCAAAGGCTTTTGGGGAAACTAAGAAGCAATGGCATAAGAAACATCTTTGCATTGATAAACATGAGAAAAACCATGTAAGAGTAAACAGTCATTTTTCACTGAGAAAGTAAAGAGGTCACCAGTGGAGTTTGATGATACTAAATTGTTAAATGTGGCAAAAATAAAGACTCAAAAAGCTGCAGAAAGTTCTTAGGAGACCAGCTAAACAACAAGATAGCGAATGACGTTCAACGTAGATAAATGCAACAAGATGAGAATGGGGGGAATCCTAAATGTGCATTGTAAAAAAAAGAACCAAAATTAAAAAAAAAAAACCAAAACTTTAGCATTAACTAGAAAAGGAGTTAAGAGCAAAGCAGAAAATACCACTGTGCCACTGTAAATCTGTAGTTTCTTTAATACCGTGTGCAGTTCTGGTCCTCTCATCTTGAGATGAAAACAAAAGAACAGAAAAAGCTTGAGAAAAGGGAAACTAGGTAAGGAAAATTCCTCTACAAGCCATGAGTATGTAAGCTAGAACTCTTCGCAAGAAAAGAAGATAACTTTAGGGTATAGGATAGAGAGGCGTAGGGAAGTAGGTTTCACTACCCATCATGTCTTTTGATATCAGTACTAGGAGGAATCAGCTGAAACTAGAAGCCAAGTTCAAAACTGAAAAAGGCAGCAAGCACAAGGAACACCTTAAAAAGGAGTATATTGGATGCCAGAAACATTTGTCGCTTTATCTCAAAACCATGCATATTCCCACGGAAAAGAAAAACCCAGAGACTGTATGTAGCTCACATAGCACCTGAGAAAACTGCTGAAAGGAAGGAGAGGACAGGGGGCTGGGGAGAATATCATATGCTTTCCTTGTTCGTACATTTCCCTAAGCTTTCACTTAAAACCACTGTTGGGACAGGATACTCAATCTACCTAGATCTGACTTTGTATCACTGCTGCTGTGGTCTGTATCCAAATACATGCAGGCACAGGATAAATCTCTAGAGACGCCAGAATACTACTTAACAGCCAAACCTAAGGAGACTGGTGGGAATCAAGTTCAGTTTCAAAGAACGTTTTCTTTTTTGGTTTACAATAATTACCTTTTAATGGGACCGAATCGTGAAAATATTATCTCTAGGTCTTCATCTGTGGTCACAGGATTCAGTTTACAAACAAACAGCACGTTTTCTGGTGGCTTGACCTCTGCATCTGGTAAGTCTCCCACCTGTGGAATACAGAAAAATACTTTCATCACTTCTGCCTAAAGCTCTCTACATTTTATTGCCACAAGCACACTGGCAACGCATCTTTTGGATGATCTCAGACACGTTCCTATCATGAAATCAAAAATTAATAAAATATTTTTCGTACTCAATGTCACCAAATAAGTGTTTTCCATAGCACCTAAAAACTATTATCTATTCGCAATTCCACCACTGGGACTTCATGAAGAGTCACAAATACTTTCTATCTTCCTTTCCCTGTTCATAACGTAACAAATACGCAGTTCTAAAAGGTGAAAACATACTTTTAGAGCCACCCTGTTATAAAAAAATGGACTGGATCCATTCCTTAGCCTCTGTCTGTACCCGAGATAAACTCGCCTTTCCTTGAAATCTAGCAACAGTTAGGGTAAGCTTAAATTTAAAGATAAGGATGAGAAGTTACAGTTACACAACTTTGTTCAGATAGGCAGAAGGGAGAAGACATTCATGCTTACTAAGAAACGCCACTTGCTTACAGCACACACAACTTTAATGTTTGCAACCTTTGATCAAAATTCCCATCCTCCAACGAGCAAATCAAGTTAGAGGAAAATGCAGATACACACACCACCTCCTGTTGAATTGTAGCACTTCTTTTTAAAAACCGAACAGAAAAATAGTGATATTTAAACAATTTATCTCCAGCTTTTACTTAATATGCTAATAAAAAGGTAATGCATATTAGTTTGATAGCAGAAACAAGCAAAATAATACAAGTAAGAAGCAGATTCCACAAAAGAGAACACAAAAGGAGTTTAAGCACAACACGCTCAGAGGGATTTACCGTTTTGACAAAAGAACAACAGAATCAATTTGGGGTTTTTCAGATCAGTAAAACTAGCAGGCCACTGAGGTTTGCATCTCTTCAGCTTATATAACATAGCTCTCTATTGCATACTACCCAGCAATACTCCTGGAAAAGTACTGCATTTGGCTCACATACCCCACTTGCCTTTTTTTAGCTAATCTTAACTTTATTTAGAAAACAGGTCATTAGCCCCACTGCTGCTGCAAACAAGAGCCCACACCTGCAGATCTTCTGCAACACTGTGGCCACATCTAGGCTGACCTCGGTATTAGTCTCTGCTGCAAACTATTCACCCTAAGTTTGAATTTGGTAGCTGTAAAGAAGTGTGATGGATTCACCCATCCTTCAACAGTGTATGTGCTTTTCTATTTAAAAAAAAACAAAACAAAAAAACCACACCAACAAAACACAGCAACCAAAAAAACCAAAATACTTTGAAGCCTATTTACAATTTTTGTTACTATGTGGAGTTTACAACTGCCAGCAGTTACCAAACATTATATTTAAGAAGGAAGAACATAAAGTTAACCAGCATTAAATTCAACTAATGCCACAGAAGGAAGACAACCATTTCATATATGAATAATGCAATCTCAATGCACTGGGAAGAGATTATCTCAAATTAGCTCAGCTCTCTCCCACACATGCTAAACCTTTTCCAGGACTAAAGATATTCAGCAGCATATTACGTATGTTATGCTTTTTAAATTGGATCCATTTCTAGCAAGTTTTTATAAAGCCTCCACTGGTCCACTTTTAATCCTGACTTCTCAGAAAACCGCCTCCAGTGCTCACGTTCAATCCTTTTCATTGTACCACAGACATTTAATAGCACAGACTCTTAAGCCATGACATCATCATCAGATGAGCAATTTCAAGACGAATAGCACATATCCTCCTAGGCTTAATATAACACGCACACACATAGGAACAACATCTAAAAGGTAAATACAGAAAGATGTTCACCATTTCCAGAAGAATGGCCCGAGTTTTTGCCTCTTTTTCTGCATGAACTTCTTCTATTTCATCTGCAGACCGTCCTTTCAAGTCATCAATTTCTTCATCTGCTCCTATTCTGCCACTCTGAAAAATGAAGGAAAAAGCTATTTATTACCAAGCCACGGCCAAAAATTCTTTCTCACTTCCCAAATATTACTTGGACAACCTCCCCTCTTGCCCCCCAAGACTTGAAAAATGCTTAAGCACTGTATGTCTGCAGAATTGGGCTTTCATTCTGTTCTTCCCACTTAGATTAAAAAAAGGCAGTAGATGTTATCCGCAGAATTGGGCTTTCATTCTGTTCTTCCCACTTGGATAACATCTACTGCCTTTTTTTAATCTTTGTTGTTTCAGGCACTATGAACTATGTATGAACTTTCAGGCCCAGTTTGAACCATATTCAGTTAGATATTCTAAATTCTTTTACACTCTCATCTCATACTCAACATCTCACCACAAGTTGTCAACTCACTTCTAATCTAGATAGCTCCTCTGAGAAATGAAGATAAGGAACACTGCAAATATCTGTGGTATCTAATAAGATTCAAACATTAAATATAGTATATCACAACAAGAATTTTATTTTACACATCTACACCTAGGCAGGATTTGAGGTTTAATTTTTTCTCCTCATCAGAATCTCTAGAATGCTGCCCTTCTTACAGACATTTCTACACCAAAAGGTGCATCTTCAGACAGGCTATGGGGGAAGAAAACCAAGTATAAGCTTTCAAATCTCTACGCAATTGGCAGTAAGCTATTAAACTCCTTATACTGTTTAGCATATCTGAAGGTACATCAGAGATTAACCACAGTGCAGACTTACTATGAAAGCTTAATTCCAATCTTCCAATATCTATTAAACTTAAACAATATTCTCTCTAGCCAATTTATTAATTGCTTGAAACAACTATTTCCATACAAGGAGATAATCTCACATAGCAACTTCCATAACTGCACGCTCTAAGTTATGAATAATTACCATTATATTTTTAGCAAATTCCTTCTGTTTGATCAAATACACAACAGTATGTATGCTTGCAGATATAACGCAAGGAATGACCAAGACTACTTCCACCGAAACACAGACTATTTCACATTTAGAAGCAAAACAGCAGTAAGCACTTTAATATTAAATGTTAGTTATATTCTCTCTTCTACCAGAGCATACAAAAACCCAGTAATGCTGAAGGCAAATATTCTGAATGTTCTGTTTAACTACACTGTAATTAAAAATCTAAAATATGGCTTTCCAACCTAACCCCACCACAGTCACAAGGGAGAGCACCCAAGTGACCCTTTTATCCTTTTCTTGGAAGATTAAGCAATTGCATTTGATTAAACACAGCAATAGCCCCAGATAACAAGCATTTGACACATCAGAACTCAAGCTGGCGTAGTAGAAGAGCATCTCTTATCCTCCTACGCTAAAAATGTGTAGTTCTTTTAGGATATAGATTTGACAGACAAAATCTTAAACACAGAATTCTTATTTTGACCAAGTCTGTGCTGGCCACTAATAGGGATAAGTTTGTTTAGTTATTTCTTCCAACTTTTCCCCCAAGAAGCTATCAAACACTCACATCTAGCTGTTCCTTGGTAGGTTCTGGTGAGCGATCAGGAATAGACAGGCCAGGTGGATCGTCAAATGGGTCATCTAAAATTACTGTATGATTTATCCTTATAGAAAACAAAATTGAGACCAGCATCAGTCACATGCAAATAAAACTCTTTACCCAAGTAACAGGAAACCAGCCCCACTGAGTCTCAGTTATATCCCAAACTGCCAAACATACTGTATGCTTGTAAATACTAGTACTAATGCTTCTGTAAAGGCAACACAGCTGGGTATTTTCTTCCATAGGTATTTATTTTAGTACCTGCTTATTTTACCAATAATGCTGGACTAGAAGAGCATTTAAGATACCATGTACGTATCACCTGACATCACTGTATTAATCTAGTTCCAAAAAAAAAAAAAAGATTAAATGTGTTTAATTGTAATGTATTCCTCAAAAAGGGAAGTTAAAAGCAGTCACACCTGATATCTTGATATGGGATAAAATCCTTATCTACAAAGGTTTCGTTAATTGTCTTCAGTACATCCATGCCTTCTGTCACTTCTCCAAATACTGTATGCACGCCATCCAGATAATCCAGGTTTTCCCCCGTAGTAATAAGGAACTAGAAAAGAAGATACAACCCAGTAACAGTAAATAGAAAAATTCAGTGCTTGAGTTTTACCTTGGGAGAGGTACAACTCTCACTGAAATCAGTGGGGATAAAACCCCAAAAACCTCTTCCTGACTGCTGCAGGAGCAGATGAGTCATCTTCCGTCAGCTCAGAGAACGTGATGAGCTAACCTACAGCTCACAGCCGCTACCTGATACAAGTCTCCCTCTGCACAAGCTCACAGCTCTGGCTCACTGGACCCTTCTGTGAGTTGGTATGACTCAGTAAGCTGGCAGAAAACCAGAATGGTAAAGGAAGAGCAGATAATTGTCTGCCAGGTAGGTCTGTTGAGCAAGATCAGCAAAGGACGTACATGCATCACAGCTGATGAAAGGGAGAGGACAGAAGGAGCAAGGCTACCCCTGTGGGCAGCAGGGAGCTGAGCTCAAATCACCTGTTCAAACAACCGCATTCAGTGGGTGCATTTTCACAATTTTGGCAAAAGCTTCTGTAGTTCTACCTTCACCTGCTTCTATCCAGACTTACTTCCTTCCTTCCCTTGTACCACAAACCCTTCTCTCCCAAAAAAATAGGATGCAGTAGCATTAAGAGGAGAACTAGAACACAGCAGCATTGACTTAGATCAGCTTGAACTGGCACTGAAATGTATCCTAATGTAAACAAGGTGTTTCGCTTTTAGGGCAAAACTGAAGCTATGAAAATTGATCCCAACTGAACACTCGGTAACAAATTGAAGACAGAGGACACTTGCTAATGAACAAAGGAGGAATAAGCAGATATGCACAAATAACAGAACACAACCACTACATCCATTCTTTACAATCTGACTGGTAACATCTCATTCCTTCTCTACCTGTATTTGGTATAAATTACACTAAGCTACATTATATTTGTAAGCCAACTCCATGTAATTCCTCACTGGAATTTTTCTTTCCCAAGGAAAATGCTGCAGTAACATTCCTGGGAACTGCATTCATTCCTGTAAGCCTGTGTACATGCTAGCAGGCTGCATTCTTCAATGTAAATATAAACATCATCTCTTCCTCCTAAACCCCCCCACACCCAAATAAACAAGTTTATACATACAATGCAGGGAAGCAGCAAAATTAACTCCATATATTAAAAGCTCTAGCTGGAATAAAACCATAGGGTTTTTTAAATTCCTCTTAAATTATTTAAAAACCCCTCTTTTTAAAATTAAAACATATGGCTATTACAAGTGAGGTATTTTAATATATAAAAGTGACAATGCATCTAAAATAATAATTTAGAAACAATAACATTCTATGAGATTAGAGCTTTAAATATACCTACAGCAAAAACTTTGTGCACGCAAACAGGGAACAGCAAAGGGAAAAACAACACTTTCAAAAACTGTTTTATAACAGCACTGGGATAAAACTGTAAACTTACATTGTATTATTAATGCATGCTTTTATGTAGCCATACAGAGGAAACTGTGGTATGACTTCAGTTTCCAAACAAACATGAAGTTATAACCAGAAAGTTTTAAGGCTATTTTAAAACCCAGGTTCCTTCCTTTTCCATTTAACTACAGGATTTTTTCCTGCCTGTTCTATAAATTCGTAAAATCACATCAAGAACACAGAAATTAATAAAGAAAGGAAAAAAAATAGAAGACTGAATTCTAACAAATAAATTTTATGAAGTTAATCTAGGACAGGATACGAATCCAAGCATTTTGATCTCTTTCGTGTCTGTAATCAAATTACCCATTGGCACCTGGGATACTATGCAAAATACTTACCTATGGCTGGTTTTTTACATGCCTTTTGACCATATTACAGCATGATTGTATTGAGATGCCACTGTCATTGTCTCTTTTGTAAAGTGAAGGAACTTTGATTTTAGCTATTTAGACGTGTACCAAGGTTTTCCAACACTGTATGCTGACCTGTGATCCATGCTGATCATTGCCATTGTTCACCATTGACACGGTTCCCTTTTTCTTGTGCTTAATTCTCGGCACTTTTTCTGCCTCAAAAAATCTAGCTTGATCACCGTAGAGTTGACTGAAAACATATATATATATATAACAAATGCGTTACAAGGCAAAGGAATTTTAAAAAGCAAGATAAACGAATGCTGTGAAACAGTAAATAAAACATCTTAAAAATTTTTTACACTGGCATTCAAATAAAACCAGAATTGACATTGCATCCATGCACACTTTTATGGACCTGTATACTTATTCACTTCATACTGCAGGGAACAACAGATTTTTCTCTGAGGCATTTCGTAGCGCCTTTGGGAGGTGGGGAGGTGTAGTGATATACAGTATATAATGTTCTTCTAAGGCATGAAGCAAATACGTATTTTGCTAAGTAAGTTCCATAAAAATAAATAAATCCACACTTTAAAAATGTAGTAATTTATGTCACAAATGTATCTTCCAAGATAAATGGGGAGCCACTAAATCTATGTGTAAACTTAGTTCAGATAGGACTGCATACAGTAATTTGAGATACACAGGATATGGCAGATTGTTAAATTCTTCTTCATTTTCAAGTCTAACCCTGATACCACTCATTTTGTCTAACTCCATAACTGACAGAGGCATGGTCAATACACACATTTGCCCAAATTTAAAGACAGTGTTCTGTTCGAACTCATTTTGCTAAGCAGGTGTAAGCCTCTATGAAGGGAGGATTCAAATTAAGCTTTGCCTGCATCAGCTTCCTGGGCAGCAAGAACAGAAACTCCAACTTCATCAACTTCAGCAGTGATGAACAGGTAGAAAACACAAACTGCCATTCTCCATCTGCCACTCTGTCAACACACTATATTTCTGCCATACCAAAGAGCCTCAGAAAACTTAAAAAAAGAGCAGAATATCAAAATAAACTTGATCTACCCATCTGCAGAGACATCCCAGGTCTGGCATGTTTACCTACCTAGACTTGCACCTGCTTAGCACAATTATACTGCTTCCAGGATCACCAGAGTGGTGATCCATGTATCCAGGTTTTCCAAGTTTTCTATTTAAGAGGCTCTGACAGACCAGACTTGGAAAAGCCAATATATTGGTCTACCAACACTGCCTCTGTTCAAACTGAGCTGTTTTATCTCTGTATGCCGTGTTCCCCAGCACTCCAGGTTTAGTTCTGCTTTGCAATTTTAATTCTTCTTTTAATAACAATTTCAAAGCACTCATATAGAATGTGTACTTCCATCCTAGCTGTTTGAATGGTTTCTTCAGCTTTTGTGAGCGTGACCACTGGAAACATCTTAAACAGGGAAGAAAAGTGATTTCCTTACATTCAACACAACTAAAACAAACTCAAGTCAATTTTGAGAGCAATGGGATTACATTCTTATATACAGGGGAAATAAAGTATAGCCTCTATATTCCCCTCCTTAAATACATTTTGTTACAAAAATAAAAGTAGTATCAAACTGCTAATGATTTTGCCTTCTGCAGAGCACCTAGGATACTTCTCTTACAAAACCAAACCTATCGTTACTTGCCAACTTTTAAATAAACAGAAATTTACATACAACTTGTTAGTCATAACTTCGCTTCTAAGGTCAGAGATAGAATACTGTCCAGAAAAAAGAAAAATCTGAATCGCCAAAGGCAGCGTAGATATTAAAAAGGTATTTAGGTATGACAACCAAAGAAGTTCATGCATCAACATCTTTACTTCCCATCAGTAATTCTGCCCCAAGAGAGCTGAACACAATCTAACTGGGTTAATCCTAGACAACATCTCTGTTGATTAAGTAGCACAAAAGTTTTACTTACCAAAATATGGATTCCCCTCCACGGCCAGTTCCCATGGGGTCTCCCGTTTGTATAATAAAACCCCTCTGTTACAAAGCAGAATGCATAAGACATTGCTTTCATGTCTGTGAATTTAAACCAACCAAAAGGAAAAAAAAAAAGGAATTGAGAATACTCACCTGTACATTATAAATAAGGCAATAGTTGTAGTACTTGACTTTGCAGAGCTTCAGAAAATTCAGACAAGCTGTAAGAAATTATACCCACATTTACTACAGAAAACCACAGATATAGTAATTACACATATAACAGGTACCCAGTTCGGTGTGCAGAAAACTGGTTTTGGAGCAGACTGTGTTAAAACGTACCAGCGCACAACCCATAAACGCTGTGAGAAATACTCTAAGGAGAGGTAACATTTCCTCCCTTCCTAAAGCCCACCTCTAGGGATTCAGAGCACCCCAAATACAGCTGCTCATACAGAAATACACATTTCTTCTCCCCAGTTTCTTCCCAAACACCTAAAAAAGACATCACAGCTGCCTTTCGATTTAGAATATACGATTTTTTTCTCAGTTCTTTAAATAAATGTCCATAACACCCATAATAAATGCATAACAACAATAAAAAAATATCCAAACTTCCCAACAGCACTTGACGCCTGTAAGCGTTTCGAGCACGCACATACGAGCCCGCGGGGACCGCCGGCGGCCACGGGCAGCCCGGCACCCA